TACCCCAAAAATGTATGTACACTTTAATAGCTGATAGATCAATTTTGAAAATCAAATGTATTTTAATAAATAATACCTTATCCGGGACCAGTTTGGCTCAGTGGATAGAGCGTCGGCCTGCGGACTGAAAGGTCCTGGGTTCGATTCCGGTCTAGGGCATGTACCTTGGTTGCAGGCACATCCCCAGTGGGGGTTGTGCAAGAGGCAGCTGGTCGATGTTTCTCTCTCATCGACGTTTCTAACTCTCTATCCCTCTCAATTCCTCTCTGTATAAAATCAATAAAATATATTTTAAAAAATAAATAAAATAAATAAATAAATATCTTTATAATTATTCAAAGTATGTGTGTACATATTTATTTGGAGATTTGTGTACATATATAAAATAATCAGTTATAATACTTCTTAACTTCCATTGTGGGTTTCATGCATGTGCTAATTTATAGCATATACCTTAAAAACATATTTCATAAGTGTCTTTATATTACCTTTTAACTTCATCACAGATGACAAGCTCTGTGTAATTTTAATCCTTAAAATTTGGTGAAATGAGTTTTATGGTTCAGTGTCTTAATCAATTTTGATAATAGTTCCATATATATTTAAATTTTTTTTTTACAGTTCTTGTTGAAAGTATTTGTATGTCTGTTAGTTAAAGTTTGTAACTACACTACCAAATTTTCTATAGCCTTAGTGATTTGTTTTATTAATTGTTCTAACAATAATTGGAAATTATATACTGAAGAATTTCACAGCATTGTGAATTTGTCCTTTCATGTTGGAATGTATTAACTTTTGCTGTGTTACATAATGAACTTAAACTGCTGAATTGAACATTATATCATCTATTTATTTAATATTAATATAGCTACTCTAGCTTCTTCCTTGGTAGTTTTTTGTATTATTTACTTTTGCTCCTTCTTTTATCACAATGTTTTGTATTTGGCTCTGTGTTTAACTTTGCTTTTTGTAGGCAGCACATTATTGGTTTTACTTTTTTTGCCTAGTCAAATATTACTTTATCAGTAAGAACATTTATTTCATTTACATTTTGTATAATTTTTGATAGATGTAGGTTAAATCTATAGTCTTATTTTGTTCTTAACAATTTTCATATTTATATTATAACTAGAGGCCTGGTGCACAAAGTTCGTGCATGGGGTGGGGAAATGTCCCTCAGCCCAGCCTGCACCCTCTCCAATCTGGGACCCCTCGAGGGATGTTGAACTGCCTGTTTAGGCCCAATCCCAATACGATTGGGCCTAAGTTGGACATCCCTCTCACAATCCAGGACTGATGGCTCCCAACTGCTCACCTGCCTGCCTTCCTAATTGCTCCTAACTGCTTCTGCCTGCCAGCTTGATTACCCCCTAACCACTCCCCTGTCAGCCTGATTGTTCCTGACTGCCCTCCTCTGCAGGCCTGGGTACCCCCCAACTGTCCTTCCCTGCAGGCCCGGTTACTCCCAACTTCCCTCCTCTGCTGTCCTGGTCACCCTAACTGCCCTCCCCTGCATGCTTGATCACCCCCAACTGCCCTCCCTTGCAAGCCTGGTTCCTCCCAACTTCCCTTCCCTGCTGGTTATCTTGTGGTAGCCATCTTGTGTCCACATGGGGGCAGCTATCTTTGACCACATGGAGGCAGTCAGCTTGTGTGTTGGAGTGATGGTCAATTTGAATATTGCTTTTTTATTAGATAGGCTAGAATCCTGGTGCACAGCTGAGGGCTGCCTGGTTTGCCCTGAAGGGTGTCCCGGGTCAGGGTGGGGGCTCCCCTGGGGCATGGGGCAGCATGGGTGAGGGGCCTTTGGTGGTTTGCAGGCTGGCCACATCCCCTGGCGACCCAAGCAAAGGCCCTGGTATCTGGGATTTATTTATCTTCTATAATTGAAATTTTGTAGCCTTGAGTGGAGGCCAGGGCAGGCCAGTGTTGCAGGAAACTTGGCTTCCTCCATTAGGCCTCCCTGGACCTGATGGGCGAGTCATTTTAAGACAGCTATTAACCGCTATGAAGTACGGTAGGAACATTTTTTTTTTGAATCATATGTTAATAAAGTTGGTATTTGGCTGAGAAAATAATTTATACTCGTAGTCTTTCAGCATTCTTCCAGCTTCCAACTTTTCTCTCTCTTTAGCTTCTTTAACTTCCCCCCTCACTTATGTTGTAAAATTTTTCTTCATAAGGGCAATAATCACTGATATATTCTAATAATTGCCTTACCCTTTAGAGTCTATGAGATTAGTGAGAACATATAAAATACAGATATTTTAAAATAAGAAGTTTCATTTTAGGTGTCATGACACAACTCTTGGTCTTCAATTTATGAGTACCTGGTTGAAAATATATTGTTACCTGAGAATTGCATGGATTGCCTTTCTCTGTTGCTGTGGGACTGGTGTGCTTGGGTGCTCCTGGAATAAGCATTTCTGGAGACCCTGGGAGTATGAGATGTGGTAGAAAACTTTATTTGCATAGAATTATATCCCTGGGTTTTAAAAGTCCCATTTCCCTTAAACCAGTCCCGGAAGAGGTGCAGCTGGGATTCAACAGAGCCAAAAGCAGAGCCTGATCCAGAGTTTCTGTTTCATGGTGGAGTTGAGTCCACCTAGCATCAGACTAGTTACAGTCCATTAGTCCATTGTATGGGATCCATGAGCCAGGCATTTGCCCCCATTCAACAAGGGAGCCAGGAGTCCAGCATGCTAGAGAGAACAAAAGGCAGGAGCAAGAAAGGGAACTTCTTTGTGTAGGAGTTTATATATCTCAGATTGCCCTTGCAGTGGCTAAGGTCATCCTTGCCAATGACCTGCTCCCTGGTGTGACCAACACACAATCATCTTCCCAACTTCTCCCACAACTCACTGGGCCTGAGTCTATTTGGCCCTCCCATTCCTTCTTTTCTGTTAATTGGTAATTGAGTTAAATGCAATGATATCATTATGACATCCATGCCATAGATTGGAATATGAATATAGTTATTTTCAGGTTTTACTTGTGGAAATCCAACAATTAGTATGATGTGGTGCTATCCACTCTTCAGTGCAAGGTAGGGCACTGCAGTTTGTACCACTGACAAGTTGCAAAGAATTGTTGCATGTTGAGTCATCTTAGATTTCAGAGGCAACACAATATATATTAAATGTGCCTTTTAGACTCATTTATCAAATAACTTGTAAGATTGCCCATTTTGAGTGTGGTCAGAGAAAAAAAATACTTGTAGATTTGTGTAATTAATAAGTTATTTAACTTGGTTATTATTCTGCCTACTAATGCTTTTAATCATATTAACTTGTTTCATAGCCAAAAATGTGGGCCAATGGGCTCTACATATATGGGTTTTGCTTACTACCATGTTTCCCCAAAAATAAGACAACCTCTGAAAATAAGACCTAGCGCATGGAAAGATAAGACATCCCCTGAAAATAAGACCTAGTGCAACTTTGGGAGAAAAAATTAATATAAGACACTCTCTTATTTTCGGGGAAACAGGGTATCACATTATTAATGAAAAGAAGCTAAAAACATAGATTAGAGGAATCACTTATGAAAAGACTCAGTTATGGAATTGGATGCATGTATTACCCTTAATACAAGGAATTCAAATGACAGGATTCAGTATATTCTTGAAAAAGCAATTAGTATATGATATTAACTTTTCTTATAGCCACAATATAATATATCATACAAATATTAGGAGAAAAAAGGCATGAGATGGAACATGCCTTTTTTTTTTTTTTTTTTTTTTACTATTAAGCTGATAATCCAATTGTAGAATTCTGGCTTCCACAACCTTGAGCTGTGCTGGTTTGTAGCCTTTATATCTCTAAGGATAGATATTTCCACCAAGGAAAACCAATTTTATTGAATTATAAGTTGGAACTGCCTCCTAACCATTGGGGAACCTCATATCACAAAATACAATGGGAAAGAAGGATGTTACTCTACTGGGTAAATTTAATTCCGATAACCATGGGGAAATTGAGTTATTACTAGATATTTAGGTCAGTTGTTACCTAAGGCTCTTCTTTGTACTTTCCATGCTCAATAGTAGGTCCACAGAGAACTCCACCTTTCCAAAAACTAAATTTGGGTCACCCCTCTAATAAGGACACCTTTAGCTGAGATTCTGGCTGAGAACAAAGGAAATACAGAAGTTGTATATATCAGCTTTAGTCTTGACACCAGTTACTCAGATGAAGGATTTAATACCTGTAAGAATAGTTAAATGGAGCAGTGATTGAATTTTATGAACAATAAATAAGAAATAGCACATAGAAAAGCTTTGAGTTGGAAGCATGATTAGTGTGTCAAAGAACAATAAGAGAGCAGAATGACAAATGAACTGAGAGAAAGGCTTGGAGGGACAAGTTCTAAAAGATAAAATTAGAGCTTTGTAGGTAATGGACACTCACATATACCATGACTTGGGATATATATTTGTAAACATTGCCAGTACCTCAGATATTCTAATACAGATACTCTGTAATTGCTTTAACTTTACCCTAGGGACATAGTCATACTAGTATTCAAATATATATGTAGCAGAGTATTTTTTGCAGAACTGATTACCACAAAAATACAACCAACAAGATATATGGCTGAAAAAATATTGTACATCTATTAATGAAATTCTGCATAGAGATATAAAGAATGATGATTTCTGAATTATCTAATAATAGCAAAAAGATTATTAGGTGAGAAAAACAAAGTACAAAAAGGCATGCTACCATTTTTTTAAAACATGTTTAAGCATACACACATGTATGCATAGACATCATTCTGGAAAAAAATTAAAAAAGTATTAATAGTTTTTACTCCTTAAGTGATAGAGATTCTTTTCCTTTCCTTCTTAGCTGTTAGAGTTGTTTACATATTTTAGAATTATTCATTATAGCAAAAGAAAGTACCAAAATTTTAATAAAATAAATAAATTAACATAAGATATTATGAATGTTATGTTTTATATTCATATATATGTTTCCAGATATATATTTGGATACCTGGATTCTCTTTCTATTTTTTTTCTTAAAATAAATTCCAATAGCTTTTTACCTTTTGGTTGGATATAAAATGGGTACTTTTCTCCTGACTTGGAAAACTACTGGTTAACAAGGAAAATGCATTTTGAGATACCTGAAATTGTAGGAGATTTTAAGAAACTGATTCAGTGTCCTGTTACATTGACGTGATCCTGAATTGGAGCATAATTTATAGTTTACATAAAAATCAATGCTATTGATGATGGACAAGATTGAAGAAATCCACACAGAATTGGCTAAATTTAATATTCTTTGCTGACAAATTTACAACCATGTGCCAAACAGTTTTAGAATACAAACAACAATAAAAAGGTTCAAACCAAAAGAACTTAATGTTTGCACAATAATTTTCATAGAAATCTACTGAGCTAATCCCATTTTATAGTCAGCAAATAAAATATAGTATTTTTCATATTTTATAAAATAAAATGTATAATATTCCAATCATATTTAGATGTTCAAAATAACTAGAGTTATATCTAAACATATGCTTCTGAAATTTACAAAGACATTAATAGGTAGTTCAAAACCTTTTAACTGGCTGGCTATAAAGTACAGAGTCAGTATTGAGAGAAGGATGCAGGCAACTTTGAAAGCACAAGGAGATCAATTTTATGTATACACGTTGTAGAGAATTTCTAGTTACATTCTTTAAAGTTTTTTGCTCTCTTTTATTTTTCCATACCTTTGAAGAATATCTTTGAACCTTATTAAAAATGAAATGTGAATGTTATTTATTAGAATAAATGTAACTATTTTGACTAAGCACTAACTTGTATAAATGACTTATGGGCTTCAGATCTGCAACTTCACTTATATACTTTCATTCCTTTCCTTTTGGCATATTGTCCTTGGTTGTTATTGCAAGGTCTTGAACACACTATTTCTTCATAAAGTTGGAAGTTATTAGGAAGGGCAGTAAGTTATTTTCCATTGAATTGTACTTGAAGAGAATGTGACAATGCTTAAATACATTCATTTATATTCAATAAGTTGTGCACCATATTTTTTTATAAGTATTAGTTCTAGAAACTGTTTGTTCTGCATAATTGGAAACAAATTCAAATAAAAAAATAGCCTTAAAATAATTGCCAGCTCAATATGATATTAAGTTGTCCTGTTTATAACTTTCCCCCATATGAAAAATTTACCATTGAGAAAACCAATCATAAATAACTAGTTATATTCAAAGATTTTAGTATATATGAAAATAGTGCCCTTGTGACATTTTTGTGCACCTTGAAAGGAAATTAATTGGAAGGTGGCCAGGGGGTGGGGCTGGGTGAGACAGGCCAGACATGCCCTGGAGCCAACCTCCAGCAGTCCCTCCCCAGCTGGCTGCACCTGGGACGGTGCTGCAGCTGGAAGGGTGTCTGCAGAGTCAGCAAGGTCCCTTTGGCAGGTGGGGTCCCTTGGACTGGCCTGCAGGGATTGGACCAAAACTGCCTCTCCGACATTCCCAGAGGGGCCCTGGATTGTGAGAGGGCGGTTCTAGGGTGATGGAATTGGGCTCCCTCCTCTCTGATTCCCGGAGAACCACCGCTGCCAATCACCAAAGCTTGGCAGCTCCTGTGTTGAGCGTCTGCCTCCTGGTGGTCATTGTGCATCATAGTTACAGTTGGAGCATCTTCCCCCTGGTAGTCACTGCACGTTATAGCTACCGGTCAGATGGTCGGATGCTTAGCCTTTTATATAGAGAGATTCTGGGTTTCTATTTTGGGGCCTCTACTTTTCTAAGATATGTGAATGCTTAAATACATGTATCATTTTGTTTAAAAACAAACTGTATAATTGTAAATATTCTTTTTATCAAAGATAAGACAACATTGGAAATTTTGCTTTATCTGATAATATAGTTTAATAAACTTGAGAAAGAATTTAAGCTACACTTTATATTTATGTTTTGTATTATTGATACCATAAAATTGGTATATTACATATAGTAACATATTACTTTAATTGTTCTCTTCTGATTTAAGCATGCTATTTTAGCCATTTTAGTAAAGCCTATTTGGTGGACTCCTAGGTGATTATAACTGGTCCAGTAGTTATTTAAATCACACTTACACTAAGAACATTGCATAGAAATTTAAGTATGGCAGTAAGTGGATATCTAACATTTCTGTGTCATTCTCTGGCTCAATTTTACTAAGAAAACTCTCTTTAAACTTTGCATATACCATGTGTTCTGAATTGAACTACAAAATCCTATGACTGAATTGATCAAAAAATTTTAAAAAGTGAAAAATACAAAGGAAATCGCTTTGGAAGTGACTGCCAAATGATTTTTCAAATAGAAGACAACTTAATGTTCACATGAATCATGGGTTACCACTAAAGAAAAAATGCATTTAATTATTTAGAAAACATCGTTGTGATTTATCCTGAAAAAGTCTCATTTACTTGGATTTATTTGAATGATGTTCATCATTCTCAATTAACAATAGCATACAAGAGTGAGGTAGTTGGAGTGGTTCACCACAGTGCAGACAATTAGCGTATATAATGACTGCAGAGAATGTAAAATGAATAAAAACTGACTAAAATATACTGTACTCCTTATTAATACCCTGTGATGTCCATTCTAAAGGCTGACAAAGGTAAAAACTCCCCTATGTCAACTTTTTTTTGACCATCCTAAATTTTTTTAAAAATCCTAAATTTTTAACTTAAAGATTTACTGTTGAGTTTTAATTTTATACACACAAATGCACACGTGATCACACATAGGTAAGCCTCAAAGCAGCACTTTTAAAACACTTTTTAAAAATAAACATTGTATGTTACATGGAATTTAATTCAAAGCACTACCAGTTATACTAGTTAGTCGGTGATGCCACAGGTAGATCCTGCCTCTAGTGTTCACTGTGGTAATACTATTGATAGTTTGTGTCTCCCAATCCTGCGATGGCAATGCATAGTCCTGTATTTAAAAAGAAAACATTAAAAAAAAAAAAAAAAAGATACAAGACTTGCCAAAACCGGTTTGGCTCAGTGGATAGAGCTTCTGCCTGCAGACTGAAAGGTTCCACTTTCGATTCCGGTCAAGAGCATGTACATTGGTTGTGGGCACATCCCCAGTAGGGGGTGTGCAGGAGGCAGCTGATCGATGTTTATCTCTCATAGATGTTTCTAACTCTCTATCTCTCTCCCTTCCTCTCTGTAAAAATCAATAAGATATATTTATTAAAAAAGATACAAGACTAAATGTAAAGGGGAAGATTTACTTCAGTTCTATCATTCTGTGTAACCACTGGAGAATTTCTGTTTAACAATAAAGCAGTGAAATAGACTATGAAGGGCGAAATGTCATATTTATATATTAAGTAAAAATGTTTTTAACTCAAATATTTGACTGAAAAATAATTTTTTTACAAGTTAAAATTTATTTTTACTTGCTAATTTTTATAACTAGAAAGAAATATGAAAAAATTTATTTACATAGCTATTACTAAAAAGAATTTGATGTAATAGAAACAGTATTATTTAAAAAGCATGATCCACAGTTGGAATCAAATATGCTGGGAATACATATCACATAAAGTTAAATTCCTGGGTAATATATTTTGCCCTTTTTTCCTTTTTTCTTTTAAAAATAATTTTTAAAATTGATTTTTAGATAGAGTGGAAGGGAGATACAGAGAGAAAGAGAAACATCCATGAGAGAGAATATGTATTGGCTGCCTCCTACATATCCTTTATCAGGGATGGAGTCCTGAACCCAGGGGTTCATAGGTCAATGCTCAACCGCTGAGCCACCTGAGGTGGGTCATTGGGCCATTTTCTAACAATAATTCTGACTTATACATATATATTCTTACAAAACATACAAGAACACTTATTTTAAACTTTGTAGCTATTAGATAAAGAACCTAGAAAGTTCTTATAAATATATCAGTGTCATTCAGGGGAGACATAAAAAAGTTGTATTTAATTATCCTTGTAATGTACTTAGGAGATTTGCTAATGACATTGAATTCAGACTGAGTCACAGCCAATATTTATTTCAGTTTCAAATGTCCTTAATGTTATATTCAGAAACAGAACAATTAAAATTAATATGACCATGAACAATATACTATACCTGAGCAGAAAATTATAAACTGCACTAAAATCAGTAGCTATTTGCATAAGTAAGAAGAAAAAAAAGAGCAAGAGGATTAATGAACAAAGTTGACATCAGCCTTTTGGTTTGAGTTGCTGATTTAAAAGTTATGATAATGAAATACATGAAATTGACAATATTAATATATTGGCTTCCTGACTATATAACTCAAGCTAATTTTATTGAAGAATGTCTGTGATATTTTATTTCATACAGTGTTTATAACAGTCCTGTAATATCTATAAAGCTGACAAACCTGCATTTTTTGTTAAGGAAACACTGTATTTGACTAACCTGAAGCCATTACACATTAATTTGGTTGAGCCAAGACTAGAACCCTGTTCCTTTGACCCTCAGAATGAAGGGTTAATGCATCTAATGAGTATATTCCTTATACATAGTCAGAAGAATAAGGTCTTTTCTGGACTTCATAAATAAAAAGATCAAATAATATTAAAAAGGAAGAAATAAAGGCCATCACAAGAATGTTTGGAATATCAGAAATTCATATCAACATAAAAGTACTAAAGAGCTATATTATGAGAAAAAAAAAGTATGGAGCAATTTATTATTCTCATTAGTACATGTAAATCCTTCACAACTAAAACCAGTGGAATACAGATCCTTGTTAATATTCTAAATTTACTTATCCTATTCTTATTCCAAATAATTGTGATAGCTTATTTTTCTATTTATTTACTATAAATAATTTAACATATTATAAAAATGAGGCTATATATCCTAAGAATGAAACTTAACAGGAAAACTAAGTATGAGATTGACTGATAAACTACGTTACTCAGGATCAAACTCAAAGCTAGTACCAGTATGTAAGTAACGCTGAGTAAAAAACCTTGGATATAGCTCTTAATGCATTTCTTCAAGTAGAATCATGTTTAACTTCTGACATATACAAGCCAGATCCTAAACAATGAGGTTTTGCATCCCTGCCTAGTTAAATTAGGCTTGCACTTGATTACTTATTTTCTGAACCATTCACTTTATTTTCCTGATCCTGTTCCAATGGCTTACAAGGAAGGTACTATAGCTGTCTCTCTCAATTTTGAGAGGAAACTCTTATAACTACCAGAATTACCAGCCAGAAAGCAATCAACAAATGTTTGGTCTTCCAGAGACCGGCAAAACTAAGTGACTAAAAATTAAAAAGCAACCCAGTGTTCAGTGTGGCAAATTTAATGGCACCTCATAGAATCCCACTATAGTTTTGACAATCTTTTAAGTCTTAAGGAACATATATTGTTTTCTTTCTGTTAACTACAATAAAAGACACAATATAGGACAGTTTTCATAAAATGTGACTATTGCCCTTAAAAAAGTAACTTATATACAACTAATCATAAGTACTATAAATCTGCAAACAAAAATAACTTATACAAACCCTGATACATATTATAATATTGTATTGATCTCCTTGAAAATAATTTCAGCATAGTCTGAAGCAGTATCTCTAGAATTCTATATACATTAGGCTAAAAAGCTTTTTCTGTAGTCTGGTATAAAATGGGGATCAGGTTAGGCCACTTATTTTACATTTGTATTTGTTGACAATGATGATTGTGTTATTTAGATTTCATATTGTAGATCAGCAAGTTTAAACCTTCTTGATGTCATAGTACACATAAACTAATTACTTAAATTCTTCAGCACACTGAAAATATATATTTTTTGCTGATCTTACAGGAAAAAAAGTAGATATCATTTTGATTCCTTCACATTCTACTGTTGTAGTTGTGTTGGTTATTATCATTTTTTAATTGAAAAATCTAAGGCAAAGAGGTCAGGGCCCCTAACTAATCAGGTACTGCATGTTTTAAAAATTCTTGCCACATGCATGTGCTGTGGCACATGGGTTGAGAATCACTGTTGTAGATCCATTAGTTCTATTGAAGCTTTCTAGAGATGATTTTCATAAGCATAAAATTTTAAATGTCAACATAATTATCACCGATATTTATAATAGAAGTAACAATATAATAATAATATTTTAATATTGGGAAGTTGATGGAGATTACAGGAGGCTACTCATTCAATAGCAGCTACAAAAAGAATTACTCTTTAAACTGTCATTGTTTTCACCTATGTCTTATTTAAAAAATAGTGAGGCCATGTAGATGCATACATTCACACAAACATACATACATACATACATACATACATACATATATAGAGAGTTAAATCTTGCCAGGTGTTGTCAGTTGAATTATTGTTGCTGTCAATATTCTTAGTCTTCCTATTTTGTCAGAAGGAATATTTTTTTTTTGATAAGTAAACCTTTAAAAATCAAAATTAGTCTCCTTTTATGAGCATGGATTCTCTATAATATAGAGTGAAATGTATGCAAGTGACCTTCTAATATAATAAACAGTAAATAATCTTTTTCTTTAAATTCGCTTTATTGATCTTATTCTTCCAGCATATAATATAAAGTATTCTTAGTTGTGATAATAATTCAATTATGTTTATACGTCAATTTTTTTTCAAAGTCTGATATGTGAAAATGTATTTGTGTTCAGTGGTTGTAAAAGCAGAGACTATTTTTCCTCTGTTCATTAACTTGCAGTTTTTAGTCT